TCTAATGCGCTTAGTTTGTACTATTTAATCATGAGACTCAATAAGTTGATACCTCGTTAAACAGAGTTATTATGCAGATATACCTATATGAAAACTGTATTTAATAATATCACGGAATAACTTATATATAATCGTTCTTGTGTAAAACACTGACAAAAAATAAACAAATCCAGTATCACAAATATAATAAAACTTACTACCTAGCACATCTTCTACCTGTTTCACTTGAAAAACTCATTTTTAATGGAAAATTAAGGTTGGTTGAATCGATTGAACTTGGAAATATGACTGAAAAAAATATCATCTCAATGATCTAAGTATTAAAAGGGAATTTAAATAAAGATGTTGAAGATGGATAGGACATACACTGCGAAAACTACCATACTGCATCATGAGGTAAGCATAAATTTGGAATTCTCAAAGGGAATGGAAAAGAGGAGGATCAAAGAACATACTGAGTCGGGAATTGGTAGATAACACTAAACGGATGAATAGCAATTGGAAACAACTGGAATGGATTAACCAGGAAAGAATTGAATGGAGAATGTTGGTTGACGGTCAATGCTCCTCCACGAGAAGCAACAGGTGTAAGATCTAAGTGGTAATACGATTGCTTTTATATCTCTAGGTATAATTCATATCGATGACAATGTTTATTTAAACATATAAACATTAGTACAATGAGGCACCAAATAGATATGCGCCACATAAATCATTCGGTTTGTGTGAGGGCTGGGATACTGCCCGGATGCCCAGAATGAAGCAGATGGTTTTCTTAGGGGACCATACCCAGAGCCTTCGACCTGAATGTCTGATCCACAACGTAGTGGAGAAACGTTGGGAGATGCAGTTCCATGGTAGACGGTGACCAACGATTATTTCGTACGCCATTATTCCTTCAGGATACTGGATTTGTAATCAGGGTTTTCCAACTGTCCTAGATGAACTCTCCATATCCACCAACCTGGTAAAAGCGTCGGACATTTGTTTTTTATCCTCTCAATTTCATAAACATCAGTAATGCCATCAGAAGTCAGTTAGTAAGACTTCCTTGGCAGTAGTTTTATGCACGTGGTCATGTGAAAGCATTTCAAGATGGAGAGATGACTCTCCTTCACTCTCAGCCGTACCATTGCATTTAAGGTCAATGAGTGTATACTACTAAACATTCCCTTTAAAACTAGGATCAAAACATTTTTTTCCAATTTAGTCTAAAAATACAAACTGATCTTATGATACTAGTTTCAGATATCTGAATCAAGATTTAACTTACATTTTCAAACATTCACCTTCATTCATCTTCTATCTAACCTCCCCCTCTCAAAATGAGTCTCTTTCTTTCTTTGTTTTTCTCTTCTTTTTCTTTGTTGTTTACTTAGAGATTTATGAGTTATCATTTATTTTTACTTGAATAGATACACATAAATCAATAATATTTATCATAATTGTCCCAAAAAAACAAAACATACATTTTCTAGTCCCCCCCCTTTAAAATTGGTTCCCATTTAAATGTCTCCATATGTTATAACAATATATATATTCTATTATAATCTAATGGTTCTATTATTAATATCCATGTATTTATATATAGTTGATCTATTTATTTATTTACATTAGAACATACAAACAGCACAACTAAATGATCAACTACTTAATACATAAATTTACACCTAAATTGACGACTGAATACAAAACTTGAAGGTAATTCATATGAATATTATTGTCTATGTATTAATTATTATTATTATTTATTAAAAACCCCATTATGTCTGAGGAAGTTGATTGGTTACCCTTCATATGGGTATAATGTAATAAATCATTTATCCTTATTTTACCACCCCATCCCCACCCTTACCCTCACCTCAATAAATTCATAGTTACATTGGTTATTATAATGATCATGATATAGAGAAGTAAAAAGCACAAAAAAAAAAATAACCCAGATCATATAGGGATTGCCTATATACAAGTTACGCATGTACAAACATTTTCCTGATGTCTATACTTATGAGAATTGTTTCTTAAATTTATTTGTTTTCTTTTCTTTTTTTTTCTTTACAATAGGTATTCATATCAGAAAGGGGTTTTGTGGATATTGTTGCCATTTCAATGGTTGAGATTATGAATCAATTGAAGCTAGATCACTGTGGAAAACTTAAAAGCACTGGGAAGTTCCATAATAAGACAAAATAGTCTTCTAGTGCTTCCGGGTTTTCTATGGTGGTCTAACTTCAATTGACTCATGATCTCAACCATTGAAATAAGCATTTAGTTTTCAAAGACAGAAATAATGTTGAACAAGATGTAGTTATCCATAATTTTGGTTATATATATTGTTTAATATAGATTTCATTTCAAATGCCTGGAGTTTTCTTCAACTATCCAGCATGAAGAGGGTCTTATAGCATAAAAGACATGAAAAACAAAACGAATATAGTAAAGATTAGCGTTTAGAATAACACTCTAATATGAAGAAGTTATCTAATAAATGATCGGAAAATGACTGAAAGTGGTTGGTACAATAAAAACTTCCCTAAAGTTTACCTTGAGACATAAATATGTAAAGGCACTCTACCTACATAAAGGAATGAATTTAAGAACTTCAGCTTTGAAAACGTTTGTGTCACCACTCCGTAGGTTAGAGGTCAAAAGTTCACACTCAGGGTCGTTGGTATGAATTACTGGAAAATTTAATATGTGGAAGGAATGACTGTTTAATGCGTCCAGATTTTCAATGATTATTCAACTTAGATCGGTATAATACAATCCTAACTATCTAATACAATTTGATAATTTTAATACTTAAAGAGTAAATTTTCTTGTAGACACAAAGAAAAGTTCAACTGGTGAGTCAAATAAATGAATAAATCCTTTAGCCAATCAAAAATAACGATTGTTCTATTCAATAGTTGAATTCATGAGTTGATTAAAGCTAGACCACCTTGGAAAACCTAGAAGCACTGGACGGCTGTTTCATCCGAGTGTGGGACTCCTCAACAGTGATCAGCTACGATCTTGCTTGCGGGATTTGGACTTATGACCTATTAGTCTTGCGAGCGAACGTTAAACCTCTAGACCACTGAGCCGAACGGTATCCAACGGTGTTATTGTCTAACTTCGTGGATGGATCATACAATTTAAGATTGTCATTTGCTTTCAGGTTTTCCAAGGTGGTCTAGCTTCAATTGACTTATGATTTCAACCATTAAATTTACTATAGTATCCACAAAAACCCCTTCTGGTATTTTGTAACTAAATTTCATTGATCCATAGAGCGTTATTTTCTACTCTCGTCTTTTTTTTTGACAGGGAGCAAGAGAGTATATTGGGACACGATGACTTGATCAAATGTTTTCACGCATTTTCCAACTGTACAAATATTGTATTCAATATTCCCGTTTTAAACTCGCGCGATATTCTGAATGGCTTATAATCTATCATGATGCTAAATAATGGAAATCTCAAAGAGAAGCAGTCCATACACTGTGTTCCTTGTATACCCTTTGACAAGTCTCGTCATTGAAAATGATGACTATTGAAAAGCATTAATGAGTGCATGATTGTTGGCTAATTACAATTCGAATGTAGTTCGAAGATAGATTTATTGTTACTTTGCATAATTGACGCAGAGATTTCTTACTGTATACAAAATATATGCTAATGAATAAAGCTGTGTTTTTTGTAAGTGTTCTCGCGAGCTTATTATAAGCGAAGAAAAAATGTGTAAGTCATTGTAGTGGTTCGTATCTAGCTAGAAAGTACTTTGTATACTAAAGAAGTTTACAGAGTAACGTGATTGAGGAGAGCTTGAAAAGAGAGGTACAAAAGAAAATGTGTGCCGACGACCTAGAAAATGCACATACATTTAATAAAGAAAGCAATCGACGACAATCAGGAATAATACAAGGCTTAGATAAATACGACCTGGAAATTGAAACTAGAAACAAATAGCCTAAAATCGATAACCCGCTTCCACTGGGAATATGCTCCACTTTGTCAAATCATCTAAGTCTTAAATAGAGCACGAACAAAGATCGGTGCAGAATGATATGAATTAATTTTATTTCGTTAGGTTCTCATTAGCTGCTTACAACCTATGAAATCATCTAAGTCTATCATAGTCAGTAATTACGGTGGTGTTTTCATCTATGTATTCACTCAATTGAAGATATTTTGGAATAATTTCGGCGAGACTATAATTTATGAACGAATCAATGAGATATAAGATAACGAGTCATGAATTTTGGCGCGAAATCCATCCATACATTAGGCTAAACAGAGTTTTGGCACTATAGATGATGTCAATTAGTGATGAAACCCTAAATATAATTTTTAACCTTAACCATCAAGTTTAAATAAGAATTCCAACTGCTTTATAACCCTCATTTAGTCCTAATCAATAGATGTCCACTCTCAAGTTCACTTCAGCGTCGCTCAAAGGTCGTCCGTAAATTGTAGTTTCACGATAATTTCTATTATAGAATTATTGAAGGTATAACTTTTTTGGGTTGTAATTTTTCTTCCATCATGTCTAACCATACGACACATGACACGTCCATAACATGATGGAATGAAACATGTCCTCCATCATGGATTATAACAGTATAAATAATAATTCCTTTATCATTTTCGCTAGCTACCAAGTACAAGGTCAAAATCAAGAATCTCCCGCTATAGTCATTCCTCTTTATGTTGAGCCCAAAACTTCAAGGTTATTACTGCAAATTTGTGATTGGTTCATTCTTATACGAAACATTATACCACATCATCTATCTATTAAAATTAAGCAATAGCTACATATCATAATCGTATATATCCTGGAAAGGATTTTCCCGTGACAGAGTTGAATGACGAGTGTTGATGGGCGGTCTATGCTCCTCCACGAGGAGTAACAGCCGTAAATAAGTAAGCAAGCAATGTTTCGTACGAATAAGTGAACATAATGCTTTCATCAAGAAAAAGAAGGAGAAGAAGCAGCAGCAGAAGAAAAACAATTACATATAGGTATAAATGATTTATTATCTTAGATTTACAACGTTTTCTCAAATTATTTTGTAATTTTGCAAGTAATATTGTCAAGAAACAAAAAAAAGAAGTAAGAAGAAAGAAGAAAGCATAATGCTCAATCTTTTCTTTCATTTTGTTAAAGAACAAACCATTAATAGATCACAGGTTGAATATCTACCTACCTACATACATACATATATAGGTAAGTAGAATGAAATATAAACAAGGAATACAAAAGGTGTTATTATATTCCATATTAAAACATTAAAACAACTAGGTTAATTAACGATAACAATTAGAGAAAGAAAAGAATAAAGAACAATAGTAACATTTAAAGTATGATTATCAGTAGTATTAATAGTAGTATTTGTATGTTCAAGTTTTGAATGATTTTTCTTTTCATTATTGAACATTTAACTGTATACTTTGTTTATCTACACTATTACTGCCAATTATTGATTGAATGGAAAAATCTGGCAGACAATTGATGAGATTATTATGATTATTATTAGCATTACTATTACTAGTATTATTATCATTATTATTAGATGTAGATGAATGTAAACAGTTGTTGAATGGTGATGATAATGTTGATGATGATGACGACGACGATGACGATGATAATGTTGATGATGACGGTGTTGTCGTCGTTGTATAATATTCAGTGATTAATTGATTTCTATTGGGTAATAATTTATTTTGATTCATCATATTATTATCATTGAAACTAGTTGTATATAAATCCATATTTAATGGAGTATTATTATTATTATTGTTCTGCATTGTGAATTGTTGATGTTCACAATCATGTATATGATTATGATGAGTAGGCCATAATGTTGAATGTTGATCATTTATATTGAATTTATTATGTAAAAATGGATTATTCGAAGGATTATCTAAATAATAACGATGTTTAGAATATATACAATCGTCTATTATATTGACTGATGATGATGATGATTTATACATTTGTGGTGTATAGAAACATTGAGACAATGATGAATGTTGTATACTTGGATCATTTATAATTCTTGATGAATAAGATTCTCTTGATGATGAAAATGAAATAGAAGAAGAAGAAGAAGAAGCGGAGGAGGAGGTAGCAGAGACAGATGCGGAAGTGAATGATGATATGGAACAAGAAGATGACGGAGAAGAGGAAGAAAAAGAAGAAGTAGACGAATAAATATCGGATTCTGTTGGTATTTGAGATTCATTAGATAATTTCATAAATTTTGCTAGTTTCGATATCGATGATAATGATGCATTGTCTGATGTTGTTGCCGTATATACTGACGTTGACAAATTTGACCCTGTTGATGATGATAAGAGTGGTGGTGATGATGATGATGAAGAGGATGGTGTAATGAATATAGAAGATTTTGTACGTCGTTTTCGGCGTCTATAAATAAAAACGATTTCTTGTTAAAAAGAAAAAGGTATATACATATGAATCTATTTTATACTCTCACATACTAAACTAATGTCATTGATATATTCATCGGTACTTGTTACAGGAAGTCATGAGAATCATGCAATCTGAAGAAAAGAACATAGAATAGGGACTATTGATCAACGTTTACTCAGTTATTCTCTATCACACTGGGCGGTTGATTAGAGGTCTGTATCTTACACTTGTTGGTAGAACATGCTGACGAAGACAATCGTGGCGAATATACAGCTGTTCTCGAGTGGAAGCCTGCCTTTAAGCGAAATTCTCTCATTTTCGAACAACGAGAAGCGTACTAGGATTATATGATTTTGAGATGATAAAAATGGAGTTTTGTTCTGTGAGCTGGATAATTCGGTCATGGAGCTTTCATCGTTCTTCTGAACAACATCATCAGCACAAACAATAACGACTATTGATAAAGGTCTATATTATCTTTTAGAATTATCAAGAGAACAGTGAGATCACAATATATGGGTGACTTTTGAACAACGTCAATTTGTGTGATAAATAACAATCATGATTTGCAATCAGAAGTAAGAATGATAAATTACGAATGGTGTTTTCAATATGAACTTATATTAACTAGAATGCCAAAATGATATTTAGCCTTATCAATGTATGAATGAATTTCACTATGAAACGTATGACTGGCTAACATTAATCTGATTTGTTTGTTCATAAATTATAGTCTCGCCTCGAATTGTTTTAAATAAGGATGCAATATTTAACTTAATTTATTTGTATTGGTTATCTGAATATTCCTAATGATGGTTATGACGGCAATCGCTCAGTCACATTTGGTATACGAGTATATTGTATGGGTTTCCTTGATGTTACCATTGGGTGACAAGCATTATAAGCAAGGTTGTTCCTATTGAGAAATCATCAATTCGATGTAACCAAGTAGAGTGAAATGAGCATTCTGGATTTCAGTGTTCACTATTATCAACTGTGTTTATAAACAGCTTTACTGATCAGTACTATCTGATCTTTTCAGCTTCATTTTAGTCGACGATAACAATTATTTTCATTCTTTAAACTGCCTAACAATTGTTGCTATTATTAGTTTATTTTTGTTATATTTTCTTTAAGAAGGGTGATTCGGTCATGCATGTGATGCTTTATTTATAACTGGAGCAGTATGGAATACAATGGCCACTTCGGATATGAAGGTGAAGATAGCCAATATAGGTGTGGCTTTGACAACAGTAGATTTCAATACTAACAAGGGAGAGAGTAGGATCTTAGAATACAACACACCGATTAGAAAATAACTCATACTTGATGTTGAATCTGTGAAAGAGGAGGAAGCGTTTGCATACGTGTTCAAAATCATAAATAAACAATAAGGATCTGATGCAGTTGGGAAGGCATGAATTGATAGAGCAAGGGGAGTATCCCTGCAAATGAAGAATATCTGGAACTCAGATCAACTATCAACCAACACTAACGTCAGAATTTTCAACACAAACGTTAAAATAAGTTTATCGTAATGAGCTAAGACTAGGAGAACTACTACAACCATCTTTAAGCAAGTACAAATATTTTTAAATAGTTGTCTATGCAAGATACTCTAAAGTCATTCGCTAAAGACTATCAACTATAATCTACTCTACCAGAAAACAAGCCAGCTGTTATCTACGGGGAAATTACGAAATGACCCTGAATGTGGATACTACAGACACCGAGAAAATCATCATACTGCATCATGAGGCAGGCTCTAACTTTAACCTCTCAAGGCAAAAAGAGAAGAGAAAGAACAAAGAACACATTACACAGAGAATTGAAGGAGGACATTTAGTCGATAAATAATATATGGGAGCAACTACTAAGGATAGTCCAGGACAGAGTTGGTGGGTAACAGTAAGTAAGTAAGTAAGTAAGCAAACAAATAAGTGAATGAATTGAAGAACATGAAACGGACAATAATCTATGCATAAATTGACCGATGATGAAAAGCACAATTTAATTATCAACAAAAAAAAAGAAGTTGTATTCATCAAAAACTCATTTCACTCGATACACTATTACAAATCAACAAATCGTTTGATTGCTGTTCATTTTTAATATAAAGCTCATCGGTAGTGAATATATGTCCTCTCCTCCTTCTCCATCATAAAAAGATTCCAGGAACTTCAAGCCATAAACCACTTGGTTAACATTCAGTGGTACAATATTAACACTGATCAATATAAGAAAAACAATTTTATGAATAATTATTATCATCAATATTATTCTTACCGATAATTTCCATGTTCAAACATTTCATCGGCATTCGTAGACAATGTCCAATAATTCCCTTTACCTGGTCGACTTTTATCACGTGGTAATTTAATAAAACAATCATTTAAACTAAGATTATGTCTTATGGAATTTTGCCAACCTTGACGATTATCACGATAATATGGAAACTTTTCCATGATAAATCGATAAATTCCTAGAATAAATAATAAAGAATTGTTCAATTAAAAATCAATATATATTGCAAAATAAAATCAGCGAGAGAAAGATTTAAACTAAAGGAGTATTGGGGAGTTATTCTGTTTATTGTCTTTTTTTCATTCCTCACATTAAAACTAACCGGACCTTGGGAGGTAACTTCATTTGCTTTACACAAGTTTCAATAACCCGATTATTCATGTCAATTTCACCCATATGCATGCCTTTTTAATAAAATGTTTATTATCAGAATGAGTTTTGTGGAGATTTTAGGAGTTAGACATTAACACCGTTGGATGCCGGCTCAGTGGTCTAATGGTTGAGTGCTCGCGCGCGAAGCCAGTAGGTCCTGGGTTCGGGTCTCACAGGAAGCGGGTTCGTGGGTGTGCACTGCTGAGGAGTCCCATACTAGGACGAAACGGCCGTCCAGTGCTTCCAGGTCTTCCATGGTGGTCTAGCTTCAACTGACTCATGATTTCAACCTGTGAAATTGTTTATTATTAACCGAATTGTCATGATATCATATAGCTGATTGAAAGCAACACTATCTAGGATTTAATATATTTCTTCAATATATCTTGGAAATCAGGATAGCTTGATTAACTGTTTGGCCTACTATCGTACTGATCATCAGTGGCCGTTCACTACTTCATCATAGATCGCATTGATAAATTGTTGATCTCTCTTTAAAAGCGCTTATCTTTCAAAATCAATAATCATATATATGTCTAACCTAAATCAATTTGTAACTTAACATCGCCATCTTTCATTATCATTGATGATATCTTTCTGATGTTTGATATGGTCAAGCTTCAAATAATAATGACTTTTCACAAAAACTTCTGAAATAATTTGCCGGATTATCTCACTAGAGTAAAACAGTCATACATTGATTTAGTCTACAAAACTATAAACGTTCAAGAATTGCCACAATCCCCCCCCCAAAAAAAGTAATACTTCAACTTGTTCTAAATTTTAAAGAAGAAATCTTATTTTACTATGTACTTTTAAGTGTTTTCTTTTATACAATGAATATGACATCCATTATGATTAAGACAGTAAATTATTTATACTTTCCAACAACAACAACAAAGAAAAAAGAAGATGAAGTAAAGGTGACACCCATGTTTCATGAAAATGTATCTTGTCAAACAAGGGTATTTCGGATTACTAGAAAAATTTTGTTAAAAGCAGTCTAAAATCAAAGTTGTTTCATTTCTGTTTGTTTGTTTTTTGTATTTTAGTTACAACTTTTATACATGCCAATTTCACATGATATAATTTGGATATTAACAATAATAGTAATTATTATTGTTATTATTATTATTATAAGCAAAGATGGATGGTGGCTAGTAGTGGAATCCAGGACTCATGTTTCGTCCTATTCAAGACTCAACAGCTGGATGCACCTGTATCTCAGGGTTGTTGCTCACTCTGTGACTCGAACCCAGTACCTAATGAGTCCTGAGAGCCAAATAGGACAAAACGCGTGCTCTGAATACCACTGCTAGCCACTATCTATCTTTGTATATACTTACTTACGCCTGTTACTCCCAATGGAGCATAGGCCGCTGACCAGCATTCTCTAACCCACTCTGTCCTGGGCCTTCTTTTCTAATTCCATCCAATTCTTGTTCATTTTTCTCATGTCTATCTCCATTTCTCGGCGTAATGTGTTCTTTGGTCTTCCTCTTTTCCTTTGATCTTGAGGATTCTATGTGAGGGCTCGTCTTGTGACGCAGTTGGGTGCTTTCCTCAATGTGTTTCCTATCCACTTCCAGTGCTTCTCCCTGATTTCTTCCTCCGCTGGGATCTGGTTTGTTTTCTCCCACAGTTGGTTGTTGCTAATAGTGTCCGGCCAATGGATCTGAACTATTGTTGATAAACACCTGTATTTTCTGGATGATGGCTTTCGTAGTTCTCCAGGTTTCTGCCCCATACAGTAGAACTGTCTTGACATTTGTATTGAAAATCCTGACCTTGGTGTTGGTTGACAGTTGCTTTGGGCTCCAGATGTTCCTCAGTTGTAAATATGCTGCTCTTGCTTTGCCGATCCGCGCCTTCACATCTGCATCAGATCCACCGTGTTCATCAATGATGCTGCCCAAATATGTAAAGGTTTTTACATCTTCCAAATCTTCTCCGTCAATTGTGATTGGATTGGTGCATTCTGTGTTGTATCGGAGAATCCTGCTTTTCCCTTTGTGTATATTGAGACCTATTGCTGCTGAGGCTGCTGCCACACTGTTCGTCTTCTCCTGCATCTGTTGTTGCGTTTGTGACAGGAGGGCCAGATCGTCTGCGAAGTCTAGATCATCCAACTGCATCTTAGATGTCCATTGTATCCCGCGCTTCCCTTCAGACGTTGACGTCTTCATGATCCAGTCGATCACCAGGAGAAAGAGAAAGGGTGAGAGTAAGCAACCTTGCCTAACATCGGTCTTCACTTTGAACGACTTTGTCAACTGTCCTCCATGCACGATTTTGCAGTTTAATCCATCCTATGAGTTCTGTATGATATTGACTATATTCTGAGGCACGCCGTAGTGTCGAAGAAGTTTCCATAGTGTTGTTCTGTCCACGCTATCAAATGCCTTTTCGTAGTCAATGAAGTTGATGTAGAGTGTATATAATACTTGTGAATTAAGACGATATAGATGCAATACGCGCAAAATGCACATATACCAATAAGAGACTGATCAATTACAGTCCTAAACATTAATGGGGAGATTCAAGTAAAGACAATACCAAGTGTATTTCATGATTAATATTATTACATTATTCAGAGAAGTATGTTAAACATACTACTTATTTGTAAAGATCGACACACAGACACACACATATGCGTGTAAACACCTTAAGAATAGAAGAGTTGGGAATGAATTTGTTTCATAAATTTCAAGCATGTAAATGATGATGATGATGATGAAGAAATATTAACAAACGAGAACGGTGTTTCTATTTGGAACCATTTTTTTCAAATTCTTTCTTAATATTTGGTTAATATACTTACCCAATACTGTCATTATCCTTTTATATTATTATTATTATTATTACGAATAACAAACTGACAATTACCATGTATTGTGAATAAATGAATTGACCTATCAAAATGTAATTTCTTAACTTAATGACTAATAACCACTACTAGTACTCACTTGTTATGACTGTCAATCTATATTCATGATTAACAAAGAGAGATGATACAATAAAGACGGTACTTATTGTGAAGATGTAAGAAATGGCGTCATTTAGTTTATTATTATTATTATCTTCTTTAGCCTACAAAGCCATTGACATTTCATCTTATATATTTCAGATGATAAGAACAGCGTATGGAATTACACATTGGCATATACAAACTAATGACAATAATAATAATAATAATAATAATAATAATAATAATAATAGTGATAATAATAATAATGACAGTAATAACATTAGTAACAATAGTAATAGTAATGATAGTAGTACTAATAATAATGATAATGATATGAGTAATGGTAATATTACTAATAGTAATAGTAATAATAAGTCATAATTTGTTTGTTTATCATAAATTCAAGTTCGGACATGTTGTAAATAATGACAATGCTGATGCTGATACTGCTGCTACTGCTGCTGCTGATGATGGTGCTGATTAATTCTTGTTTAAACAATAAAAATATTTTACTGATTATATTTCTATATTTCCAGGATAAAATTTTGTCATTTTTGTCAATAATTTTATGATAAAATTTCATGTTATAAATTAACTTGGAATGAACAATCAAAGTTACTAGTTCAATTGAATGATTTCTACTAAAACAAGACCCTGTCATAATAATAATAATAATAATAATAATAGGCAAAGATGGACAGTGGCTAGCAGTGGAATCCAGGACGCGCGTTTCGTCCCACTGGGGACTCGTCAGCTGGATGTACCTGCATCTTCGAGTTGATTTTCACTCTGGGACTCGTACCCAGTACCATTTGCTTCAAACGCCATCGCGTTATCCACTTAGCTACTGAGTCCTGATAGCCGCTTGCTTGTACAATGGGATGAAGTTTAATTCACTTGATACTGTTTTACTTGAATCGTCCATTGATGTTTTAGGACTGAAATTGATCAGTCTCTTATTGACATATATGCTAGCCACTATCCTTCGTTGCTTATAATGCTTGTAAATTACGGCAATATCGAGGCATGCGCACAGTATGCACATATGCTAATAAGAAACTGATCAATTTCAGTCCTAAAACATCAATGGGAAGATTCAAATAAAACAATACCAAGTGAATAATAATAATAGTAATAATGATAGGTTGAAGTCATTCACAATAGTCTTGTAAGTCTATTATGCCTAGTACTTTTAGGTATTGTCTTATTTTGCTATATGTAAGAGACGAGATCGAACACCATAAAGGAAACTAGTGGAATACGATAAATAACTTTAAATGAATTGTTTCTGTCCATTACATGACTGTGGAGTAAGCTATATTGGGCGCACTACCAGGTAACTGAACCAAAGAGTTAGTGAACACCTCCCTTCGTGGTTAGGAAAAGGTATTGATTTGTTTGTTGAATAGGTGAATGATTTATGTTGATTTGTTATTGAGATTTTTGTGCAAGCCTTAACATTACATTTATTATATTTTTGGTTTATATTCAAAGTATTAGCTGCTTTAAAAGTGTATATTACTTGAATATCATACATTTCAACCGTTTTACTGGTATTAGATCACTAACTAATTGAAATTAATGATACAGACTACTGTGATTTAACTAAATAATCTAAAGATTTTGTTACCTAATAGTTGAATTCATCAGTCAGTTCAAGCTAGACCACCATGGAAAACCTGGAAGCACTGGATTGCTTTTCATCCTGATATGGAGTTCCTAAGCAGTGCTCAACCACGATACCACCCGCAAGGTTAGAACTCTCTTCTGATAATAATTATCGTTTGTTCACTAGTGATTGGCTTCAAGATGGATTTCATGGAGTTCTAGTGAGAAGCAATGACCAGTGGAAATCAACTAGGTCTGTTGTGAGATAGTAACTCATTGAAGACACTGGTAGACGGTGGCGCAATTGGTTGAAGTTAGACATTAACACCATTGGATACAAGCCGGCTAAGTGGTCTAGATGTTAAGCGTTCGTGCGTGAGACTGAAATGTTCTAGGTTCGAATCTCGTAAGGAGTCCCATACTTGGGCGAGATGGCCATCCATTGCTTCCAGGTTTTCCATGGTCGTCTAGTTTCAGTTGACTCATGAGCTTCACAAAACCCTCTTCTGATTATATCATCATTAAGAGAAGCCATAGGCCAATTGTTCAATACATGATGATACATGTTTTATCAAGAAATACGAAACTAGCATGAAAGAGCTATGATATGGAGAGTCATTCAGAAGTAACCTAATGAAAAGGTTAATTGGTGATAATTAGAAGTCACTTTAAGGTCAAGTGCATCTCACTGGGTCAGTGGATCAATTTCCTAAGGATAGAGCCGTATATATATATATATATATACCAGTATTCTTGCATTTTATTCGGTGTTCCAATACACTTTCTCGCTCATGTAGTCATCTGGGGAGGCTAACGCATAGTATACAGTGTATCAGTATCAGATTTCGCATACCGCATGTCACAACAAGCTATGTAATAGTTCGCTTTAGCTAATTTTAGTTAATAAGTAACCGAAAATCAGTAACTAATCATATATATATTGAAGTTATGGAGGAGATTAGCAGCACAGCTAGGTGTTTTCGACGTTGTTCAACCCTTTGAAGCAGATGATCTAACTATGAAACTTCTATTATCGTTCAGGACAACTTGGTCGGCTACTACTTCATGAAGAAGTGAGCTTTCTATTTATTCTTTGTGTGTTACATTGATCATGCTGATGACTATCACCCACAAGCTAACGTAATCAATTCATTTCATTTTCTATGTCGAATGAAAGATGCAACAACGAATGAAACAGCAACATAGAATATCAGTAAGATGACTCAATATTTTATTACTAAAATCAATGTGCTTTATGTGTTCAATTATGAAAATAACAAAATTATGGGTTGACAGAATTCTAATAATCTCAGAAGTGTGACATTTAGGTTGATAATCAATCATTGAATACATCAGCATAGATCCATTTTATTATTCCATACAAAAATGTATGGTTAGAGATCAATTGAACAAGAGAGTCAACAGAAATACAAGGACGAATGAAAATAATGAAAACTACGAAAGCAACCCAAACAAACACATAATCATCATAATGAACAGATTTACTAACTGTAAAGTACCTGAAAAACTCAATTCCACATGATAAAAGCGCTAATGACGTTGTTCATAGCGACAAGGATAGTTTCATAATCAAATTAACTAAACCAGACAACCAACAAAAAAACAGAAACGTATTTAGATATACGCATTAAGTTTAAATCAGTCAGTCAATTAGTTACACGGTTCAAATTGCCACACCTCATTATCATAGTAAGACGAACACTGGATCCATAGAAGCAGTTAACTCAATGGTATAATATATACAGGAAAATTCTCATATAAGGACATAGTAGAGGAAGAAAGAATTAGTTCGTAGAAAGAAAGATATGAAGCGATCTTAATCTCATAGTTTAAGGGCAGATAGAGAGTGTATACACCTATGTCACTCTGGTCAACTCTGAGCGATGTCACCCACAGTCTCCAACCACCGGTTACGATAGTCATGTGGACCCCAACCGAATAGTTTGCATCTACCAACATGGCTAAGACTAGAAGTTAGTTTAAATGCATAAGTAATAATGGATTTAAAAAACGCTGAGTAAATTTTGTCTATAGTTGTTACTTCGAGATCATGACTACCGAGCATATTATATGGGATCGAACTCAGGATGTTGGAATTCCACAATCATTTTGATATCATTCAATCACTCGGTCAAATAAAACCTATTAGATATGATTTAGCTTGAGTAGAAAATGTTATTGACCACATTTCTACTCAGCAATCTGTTAGAGTGACCGAATGCTCAATGCGAAAACTCAAATGTCCAAGTTCGAATCCGTGTGAGTTTAAAAAATCTTTCCCAAACATTTTTTTAAGAACTATTACCTTAAGTTTATCAATCAAACCATTAAAACTAAACAAACAATCAAAAAATCTCCTACAATAAAACTCAACATTTCATCCATAAAGAGGATAATATAGTACAACTTTTACAGAAACCAATTTTTGAGATATCTGAGAAAGATCATCACCTCTTACTTTGTGTTTAGGCTGCGTCTCCTAATTACATTTCCATCCACCACTTTAACATGTATTAGTAAATCCATCTGTGACTCTTACAATACTACAAACAATATCCTTAATCGTATATGTATTTTTAGTGGTTAAGTAAATAAGATATACTGAGATGTCAAACTTGAATGAAATAGAGAAGGATTTCTGTGGATATCATGAGACAGTTAAAGCTAGACGACTATGAAAAACTTGAAGCACTGGATGGCTGTTTCGTCCTAGTATGATACTCTTCAGTAGCACGTATCCACGATCCCGCCTCGTTCGATTCGAATGAAAATTTTGCGAAGATTATTTTATTCTATAGATAATATTAATTGAATTACCGTTAGTTAAACAGTCTATACAAAACCTGAGTTTGGTTCAACTCCTAATAGGAAAATAGATAAGAATTGTCAAACAGTTCAATCCAAGAAAGAAACAGATATTAAAACTCCTCCTGGAGCCTCTCTAGGATTACTGCCAGTCCCAAGTCCGGATAAAGGAGGAAGGTTGAGCATGGGGTTAGCGACCCGATCTCGTAGAAAACTAACTAGCTGAAAAAAAAAACGCTAAGTAACTAACTTTTAAAGATACTGTCATTAAGATCATTTCATAACGAATAACTTCCATAGATCAAGGTAATAATAATAATCAAATTGTCAACTACACAAAAGTGTATACACTTGTACTATTCTATTTAGCTATCAAAATAGAAATATTTCAATATTTATTAATATTAGTTTATAGAGAATTCGAAGAATTGTTTATGAAGTATAGGCTTATCTACAATTATGTACTTGTATTGTATATGTACATGTACTTGTATTGTATATGTACATGTACTTGTATTGTATATGTAAATGATTGTGTAAACTAGTTAACTAATAATTAATTAGGATGATTGACATTCAAATCAATTATGGTTATTCTTCGAGTCAACTAATATTACATTCACTTAATTGTATATCATCTAAGAACTATGCAATAATATATATAATATATATACATATACATGTAAGAATGTTTATTGTATTGTTGCTAACTGACTAACTGATTGTTTATTGTGTTACTGTGTTTAAAAATATTTTAATGAAAAATAATCTTAATTAAAGATTGAAGGATCCAGTTGTCAAGTGGTAATTAGATTGCTTAATCAAAAAGAAAGAAAAAAAATGGAGACTAGTTTAATGAATTAACTATAAATCATATCAGATTATAGACTGAAGTTTTTTAAAAAAAAGATGAGGAGAAAATGGTGTTGTGTGAAAAAGTATGAAGT